TTTTATCGCAAACAGAATCATGTAATATCACCATTAGTAGGAGACTCCCATGAAACAGCAGTACCAGAACTATCTGGATTCATTCTCTTTCGAAAACTGAGTCCCAAGGTGCAAAGGCTAGTGAGCTGCGGTTGAGGACACCTGTCCCGCCCCTCTCTCTATCTCAGCCCCCCTCCCAGCCCCCCAAACTCCCGCTGAAGCTTCCACATTCTCCATTCTGTTCCTCAGCCATCCACGGGCATCATGCACACACATCCGCTCGTCAGAGACTCAAAGTCACCCTCCCGGCACTCCCGGGAACATGTGTCAGTTTTTCAGCCCAGCATTGTCCCCTCCCTGGTGCTGCAGTCTCAACGTCTCCATGAGTTATCAGGTATCACCACTTAAATATAAACATGTCACCCTAAAATTCGTACATTTTCCCCTTACATCGTGCATCCAAGCCATCAGCAGACCTGGGCTCTCTTCCAAACATATCCAGACTCTGACCACTTCCCTCGGCCTTCGTCCCCGTTCAAGGCCCCACCAAGCCTTCCTGGATGGGGTGGCGACCACCTCACTGGCCTTTGTGCTGACACCTCACCCACTCACTCCTCCCAACGCAGCAGCCAGCATGGTGCCCGAACATGTGAGCCCTACCCTCACATGTCTCTGCACAAACCCGTCCCATGACGCCTCATTCCATTCAGAATAAAGCCAGATTCCTTATGATCCATAAGGTCCTTCCCAATGAGGCTCTCGCCTCTCTCTTCCTTTTCTCTTCCTCATTCCCTGCTGGTTGTTGCGCCCCAAGGCTAGAAGGCTCAGCCCCAGACACCTGTATAATTTGTTCCCTCCCCTCATTAAAGTCTTGGATGACTATTCAGTGAGGACTTTTCTGATTGCCCTGGGTGTTCCTGACTCCCCTTTCCCAATTTAGCCTTCCCCATAAGACTTGTTTTTGGCATTAACTGCAATGTACTTATTTATTATTGATTTCTTTGTCTCTCCACACTGAAAAGTGTGGGATAGTGGTCTGTCTCTTTCACTGATAGCTCTTCCCGTGCCCAGAACAAGGCCTGCCGCACAATTGTTATTAAATGAGCATTTCTCGCATGAGTCCACAATTCTCTGACTCCTCCAATACCTGCTTCTAATACAGACTACGCTATTTTTCCCGACAGTCCTCAGACTGTCACTAGGACATCTGATTATTTGCCAAATTCTTTCAATTTCATGATTTTACTGGAACTGTCCCCTCCTTTTTTATTTTTATTGCCACCACCCTCATCAATGACAGCACAGGTTGGAATCTGACAGCCTTGGGTTTGAATCCAGGTTTACTGGTTATACGATCTTGGGCAAGTTCATCTGGCGGGAGTCTCAGTTTTTCATTGGTGAGTGGTACCTACTTTATGGAGCAGTTATTAGTGTTCAATGAGACCATGTGTTTGAAGCCTGTCATTGCACCTGACACACAGTAAGTGATCAGTCTGTTCCCTCGTACCTGACTCATGGCAGTAGACTTCTAACTTATATCCCTTCTCCTGGTCTCATTCCTTGTTACTGTATCATACAATCACTACCAAAAATATATTTTATACATATTGCTTTGGTCATGCTACTCAATTACTCAGCAACTTTCAAAATCCTCCTACAGGTCAAAGAAATCATAAGTTGAGTGCCTACAATGCCTCAGGTGTATTACTACACACTTCGTTGTTCAATAAAGTCAAACCATTCATCTAGCATTCAAAGCCCACCCAAGTCTGCCCGTCCTCCTCCTAGCTGTGATGGTTAATTTTATGTGTCAACTTTGCCAGCACGGTACCCACATATTTGGTAAGCACCAGTCTAGAAATCACTGCGAAGGCTTTTTTTTTTAAGGTGAGATAAACATCTAACTCAGCAGGCTCTGAATGAGGAGACTACCCCCCAACTGTGTAAGTGGGTCTCGTCCAAATCAGTCAAAGGTCTTAAGACACCAAGTCTGAGGTTTCCCAAGGAAGAAGGAATTCGGCCTCAGGACTGCCTTCAGGCTGGGGCTGCAACGTCAGCTCTTCCCTGGCTCTCCAGCCGGTGGCCTGCCCTGCAAAATGCAGGCTTTCCAGCCCCCATCAGCACGTGAGGTGGTATTTCTTACACCAATCTCTCTCTCCCCCTTCTCCCTTCCCTCCCCCCACACATATCCTACTGGTTCTTTTTTTTTTAATTAAAAAATGTTTTTTATTGTGACTACAAACTACTAAGGAATGATCGTTGTTTTTGTTGTTGTTATTATTATTAAAATATAAATAAAACCCCCAGCCACTTCAGCCATAAGTTGAAACATCTCAAGTTTGAAACATCCCAACTTTAGCAAATGCGTGCTGAGTGAGCAGTGCCATCAATGCACAAAAATGGCAAAGTATTGGGTGTCCTCAGAACACCCCACTCCCCTTCTACCATTCCGGCTTGATAATAGTCCTGAGTTCACTTCTTCTCTCTAGCATGGCTTGGGTACATTCTCATTAGTAAAAACTGGTATTTTTGAAAGTGCCACTAGCAGTCAATTAGCAAGCCGTACTATTGCTTCTTTTTTCTGGAAAAATATCTTAATACAAAGAAGCCATCTTGTATCTTGTCAGACTCAGGAATGAAGACAGATCTTCAGGGTAGGTGGTTACTGAGCATCTCTGAGCACCGCCGATCAGTGATGCTATAAAGGAGCCGACCAAGAGACCAGCCTGAGACCGAGAGCTGACTGGGCTCAGAACTCAAGAGCCAGCGCCTCCACCCACGTGCAAGGAATCACCACATCTCAAGTAGACGGGATGCTCGGGTCTGGGAGCTCCAACCATTTCCTACAACAAGTAAGCCCCCAAATTTTAGCTGAATATGTGGACACATGGAATCGATTCCGTCGCCCAGCCTCCCTTGTATCGGAATGTTCCCTGGTCGTGGGATGGAAGCAGAGCAACATATGCAACTTTGGGGTTGTGACTTTGAAGGCAAAGAGCATGCATCCCACTCCCTTTTCTCCGTGTTACTGCTGAATGTAATTAGACACCTTGGGTGCTGATGATGAGGACCACATCCTACGTTAGAAGGGCAAAAAGGCAGCAGAAGCCTGGGTGCTGGACATCGTGAAGCTGCCACCGTGGCCTTTAACTGCCTACACACACTCTAACATTGTTCTGTGTTATGAGAGTCAAACTAATATATAGCAGGTGATAGGAAAGCCTGTCAATTGTCTAACAATAAGACTTTTTCAGAAATAGCTTAGGTCTGAAGGACAAGCTAAATGTAGGGAGCCAATCAGGACAAGCTAAATGTAGGGACCTAATCTATACTTTCCCTGGGAGCTGCCAGCCTTGTCTCCAAGTTGTGATCTCCAAATTATTCCCTTACATTAGGGCAGTGACTGCGGAAGGCTGCCCCGGTCAGAGCTCCTGTGCCTGACTTTTCTTCTGCGGGACAGCTCAGGGCTCTCGCAGCCCTCAGAGCCGGTGCTAGGCCAGCACAAGGATATGCTGGCCGGTCCTGAGCTCTGCTCCGGACGTTCTTCCCTCACCTCTGGTGGAAGATTAGAACTGGGTATTCAGAGACCACTGTGCTGAGTAAGAAGCAACTTACCTGTTTCTAAAAGAAACAACTATCTAAAAGCCGAGGGGACGCCCACCGATTAGCGCTGTTCGGGTTTTTCTGGTATGTAGTTCAGCCTGAGGCCAGCACTTAGGAAATTCCCTAGACTGAAGTGGAGAATTCCTTCATCATTAGGTGTCTGGAGACTCACTCTGAGTACCGCATACACTATGTAGATTTTCTATATTCTGCAATAATGCCAAGACTGATGAATATATTCTATTTCTGTCTCTCAATTTTGGGGTAATTTTTAACTAAGATAAAATATACATAACATAAAAGGTGCTGTTTTAACCATTCTTAAGGACACGATTCCGTGGCATTAAGTACATTCTCATTGCTGTACACCTGACCCCATTCTCCCTTGCCACAACTTTCCCATCAGCCCAGACTCAAACACCATTCACATGAAACACCAACTCCCTCCTTCCAGCCCTGGTGACCACTCTTCTGCTTTCTGTCTGTATCCATTTGACTCTTCTAGATCCGAATCATAGGAGTGCCAGAAGGAGAAGAGGAACAGCAAGAAACTGGACAGTTATTTGAAAAAAATAATGAAGGAGAACTTCCCCAGTCTGGCAAAGGAAATAGACTTCCAGGGAGTCCAGGAAGCCCAGAGTCCCAAAGAAGTTGGACTCAAGGAGGAACTCACCAAGGCACATCATAATTGCATTACCCAAGATTAAAGATAAGGAGAGAATCCTAAAGGCATTAAGAGATAAGGAGACAGTTACCTACAATGGACTTCCCATAAGACTGTCAGCTGATTTCTCAAAAGAAATTGTGTAGGCAAGAGGGCCTAGAAAGAAGTATTTGAAATAATGAAAAGCAAGGACCTACATGCAAGATTAAGCTATCATTTAGAATGGAAGGGCAGATAAAGTGCTAAGCAGATAAGGTCAAGTTAAAGGAGTTCATCATTACCAAGCCTTTATTAAATGAAATGTTAAAGGGACTAATCTAAGAAATTGAAGATCAAAAACTATGAACAGTAAAATGACAACAGACTCACAATTATCAACAAATAAAAAAAGAAAAACAAAAACTCAGCAAACAATAGAACAGGAACAGAATCAGAGAAATGAACATTACATGGAGGAATTTCAGTGGGGAGGGGGAAGGGGGAAAAGGTACAGGGAAGAAGAAGCATAATTAGTAGGCACAAAATAGACAGGGAGAGGTCAAAAATGATCTAGAAAACAGAATTCAAAGAACCATTCATGTACAACCCATGGACATGAACTTAGGGTGGCGGATGCTAGAGGGTTGGGGGTGCAGGGCAGGGGGAGTAAAGTGGGGAAAATTGGGAACACCGTAATAGTATAATCAATAAAACATACTTTAAAAAGAAAAAAGGAGCACATAAAGCAATAAGGGGTTAAGACAAGTATATAAATAACCATGAGCAGGGTAATACAAGTACTGGACAGACCGGGGTAAAATAACAGTGCTGAAAGGTGTTTGTTTGTTTGTTTGTTTGCTTGTTTGTTTGTTTTGCTTTATTTTGTTTTTTAGAGACTTAAAGGAAAGAGATGGCGTTTGGTTGGGGTGAGTCCAAAAAGGCTTTGTAGAGGACTTGATCAAAGCGATTTCAAGGAAGCGGCAGGTGCCATGGCACCTGCTCTGAAAGGCAACAGGTGTTTCACAGGTAGAGCTTGGGGAGTGTGGGACAGAGAGAAGACCAACTCAGGCAACGGAAACTCTGTGCAAGGACACTACCGAGGACATTCACGAGCTGTCGTCCTCCAGAACATTGACTTGAGGTGAAGAAGAGCCTGGAGATAGCGCTGTCTCGGGACAAAGGCCTGAAAAGTTGACCTGGGAACACCCTGTGTTCCGGGCTCTGCTAACTGGGAAAGTCAGGCAGAGTCATCAGAGGCTTTTTATAGAGCCCTGGGTGTGCAGGCAGGTTGTGTGGACCCGGGGTTTCTCTGGGCCCCAGACTGACAAACGCAGAAGGAGGGGGAAGTGCTGTGTGCCCTGCTTGGGCAGGTTGACCTTATAAAGTGTTCCCTCCCCTCAAATGTCCTGTTTCAAGGAGGTTCGAGGCCTCCTTGAAAACTACGGCTGTTTCAGTGAGAGGACTTGGTGCAATAAACACAGGTATGTGTGCATTGGACTGGATTGGATCCAGGGTGGCTGTTAGGAATTTATCACCGCAGTCCAGGTAAAGGCCCCTGGGGACAGTCCCGACATTGGATGCACCTGGAAAGAAAGGGCACAGGACTCTGCAACCGATGGAGGGCAAGGAAAAGAAGGCAAAGGCATAGGAGCACATGCCTCAGCCTGCAACGCTCAGTGATCAGGGGTGATGGTGCTGTCACCAGAAGTAGTATCAGTCAGGAGGAGGAGCAGCCCGTCAGAACTGAGGACGTGGGAGGTGGGGTTGGTGTGGGATCTGTTTATCTCGTAGTACCAGGAACCATCTGGGTCAAGTCATCCATCAGGCAGATGGATTAGGTCAGAGCTAGGAGCCCGTTCTCAGGAATCACGTGGGGTGGTGACAGGTAAGTCTGTGAATGCAAGACAGGGAGCCTTGGGAAGGTGCGGTCTTGGTAGGTGGCCACAGTGAAGAACGAGCTGGAGAAGAAGAGCTATGGATGGTTCATCAGAGGGGCAAGGGGGAGGAGATCCTGCTAAGCTTTGGAATCCAGGGGCTGCGGGTAATTTACACTGGCTCTTCCACATTCCCAAGCCGCTGCCTTCTCATTCTGCTTCCAGAGGCTGCCCTCCAGGCAGCTCCACCCCTTGGCCTCAGGATGGGTTTGGTCAAAGGTGAGATGGGCAGGGAACTCAAAGGAGGGGGCAGGGGTTGCCTCGGGTGTGCTGTGACCCTTATCCACAGCTCACTCCTCGCCCCTGTGGAAGGACTCACTCTGCATGGTTCTCTCTTTCTGGCCTCTGTGACTTTCCCTCACCTGTCTCTCTGGCCCCCAGGTGGGACCTGCTCAGCTGCTGCTGTATCTTCCTTGTCTTCCTGCGCCTCATGGTCCCAAAACCCACCCTCGCTTTTGTACTTACCCTCTTATGAGCCTTCCTGAGTTATCCTAACTCCGGGGTTTCGGTTTCTGTTAGAACCCTGACTGCTGAGTCAGCAAAGCCCTAATGTAAGCAGTACATGTTGATTAGAACAATGACCAGCAACTCGGCTGTCGCCCACCCCCATCCTTCATTCCTTAAAATCAATAGCAAAATTTAATTTCAGCCATAATTCTGCATAGTGTTTGGGCTCACATCCAGACCCTGCTGTGCAATTAATTCAAAGGGACCTTTGGTCATTAAACTAAGCCACCCACAGCCCTAAAACATTGCCACCCTTTCTGTTAAAGATGATGATCTGTGCTAGGCATGAAGGAAGTGAGACCCCGCCCCCATGCCCCACCCCCAGGGTGGGAAGAGGGAAGCATCCAGACAGGTGATCTGCTCCTGATGGGCACAGCTGGCAGGCTTGGCTAGTGCTGTCCCGCACAAAACAGCCCTGCTCTCGGAGCAGCCGGAACACTCAGTGCTGACCCGGAGGCCAGTGGCCACCCGTTGTCGGTAGCCCAACTTCTTGGCAGCTTCTTGGCATTCAGAGTTGGATCTTGCACTGTCTTCACTAGGGCAAAGAGGCCCACCAGGAGAAGGCTGGCCAGCGCCAGCCATCTAGCCGAATCCATCCTGGGGTCCCATGGAAGCAGACGAACTCAGAGGTAGCAGCAGTCTTTTTTCAGTGGGGACAGCTTAGTGATAAGAAGTCTACAGGGAAACTCCTGCAACTCTGGGTGAAGAGGGGGCGTGGGGAGACTGGTTAAGTCTCTAGAACCTGGTCTGTCCCTGCAGTGTTGGACAGTTTCCCAGGGCAGGGTTCTGTGGCCTTGGCAGGCGCAGGCTTTGGGTGTCTGGGGAGAGAAGAGGCTGTCTTTCATAGCTGAGGAAACATGTCCGAGGGGTGAATGAGCACCGGCACCGAGGTGTCAAGGTCAGCTGGGCTTGGGGGAGTGTGTCGCTCTTCCTCTGCTCCTTATCACAGAGAGATAACTTCCAAGGCTGCCAAGCACTTCTCTCCTCACTGGTCAGAACGATTGTAATGCCTCCCGATCCCAAGAAAACACTGAAAATGAGCCATCCCAGGGAAGTTTCCAAATCCCTTACCCTTGCAGGGTGGGGGGCAGATTTCAGGAGTGGCAGGCCCTGCAGCCCTAAGAACTTGTACGTACAACCCTTGGGCATGAACTGAAAGAAGGGAATAGGGGTGGGAGGGTGTGTGCAGGGCGGAGGGGAATAAAAGGGGGGAAACAGGACAACTGTAATGGTGTAATCAATAAAATATATTTTAAAAAAGAGTCCAGAGTTGGCAGGTGCTACAAATAAAAGCAAGAATGTTCCATTCAAGGCTGTGGCTCTAGGATTTTGCAGCTGAAGTAGGGATGTTCTTAGGGTTGTAGCCAAGGCTCAGCTTCGAAGACAAGAGTCACTGGGTAGATAAAGCTTGACCTTGCACCCACTCAAGAAGGGATTTGAAACTGTGAAACCGGTTGCTGGGCTTGCTTACACCCAGTGTCTCCTTGAGGTTTAGGGGTGAGCATGTTATCCTGGCCATTGGCACTTTGACGCGTATGTTTTAAGTTATTTCTTCTGCGCATTTAGTACTTTCAGCAGACGTGGACACCAAGATCCGCTGTCCATAATCCCAATCAGAATAATCAAGAGCTGGAGCCATGTGACTGCATAATTTTTTTCACTTTGATTTATATCTACTATGTTCTTTGAGATACAGCTACTCCTATTTATTACAGCTAATTTTTTGACAGAATCCTCCTGGAGGGTATGTATCATTTTCCTTCTTTTTCCAAATGTACATGCATATTAAAAATCTTCCCTGTAAGTGGGAAAATTTATAGCAAACAAAAAAAAAAGCTGCCTTTTCAAAGAAATCCTAAAGGAACAGAAGCAAGTACATTCAGCCAAGCCGAGCAGCAGCACCGCAGGGATGATTCTGGGGAAGGCGAGGGGAAGCTGTAACTGGGAAAATGTAGCCTGCCATAAACGGACAGTCTCAGAGTGATAACTCTGAGACGGGAATGTGATAGAAAATGCATTTCTAATAGTCAACTGCCTCCTTTGCAGAAGCGCTCATTACGTGCCAGACACTGTTGTGAGCACCTCGCACACGCCATCTGAGACGATCCGATCACTGTGAGGCAGGTGCTGTAGTTATTCACGGTGAATATGAACCTGTCCCCAAGTCACCCTGTTTGTAACTATTAGATCAAGTGTTCAAATTTAGGTCTGCCTGACTCCAAAGCTTATTTATTTCATTTCTTCGACAAATGTTAATTGGGTGTCTACTCCGAGCCAGGCACTGGTGAACAAAGGCAGATAATGGTCTCTGTCCATGTGACATTTACAATCGCCTGTTAGAGATAGACATCAGTCATTTATTTGAATTCAAATTGTGATGGACACCGTGAGTGAATGGCACGAGATAGTCCCTGATCCATTCCTGACTTTCAGACAATGCCCATGTTAGACGCCAAGTAGATATCGGGTGAATACTGAGGAAGGTTGCTGGGACGGTAAATAACGGTGGACTCGGCCCACTCTTGGTGGGGACAGGCAAGCTCTTCCGAGCAGGTGACAGAGAAGCTGAGACTGCAGACGATGGCGCCGAGTGGGAGGTATGAGAATATTGCAGGAAAAGAGTGTTTTAAGCTGCCTTCCTAAAACGCTTGATTCAGAGAAGAACCTTGGTAGCAGGAGGCTAGAAAGTGACCAGTGAAGTTCAAGCATGCAGGGTGGGCAAGAGTAAGCAAGAAAGGCCTAAGATGAACCACGGCACTAAGAAGGGTTACCCTCATCCAAGGTCACTTGAGCCACATAAATGTTTTATCTTGATGCGAAGCGCGATAGGTTGCCAGGGAAGGGTTTTAGTAAGGATAATGTCATCAGCAAATTTCCACTGATCAAAGATCAGTTTGGAAATGACTGCAGTGGTCCCCACTTGGGCCAGGACGGTGGCCCTGGAGGAAGGAGGAAGTGAACAGGTACTTCAGAGGTGACTGCCTGGCCATGAAGGGCAACAGAGAGGGTCCGCATGGGGCAGGGCACCTGTGATAGTCATCTGTTGCTGTGTAACAAATTAGCCCAAACCACAAACATTGCTGGTCTCGCACACTATCTTTAAAGGTCAAGAATCTGAGAGCAGCTTACCTGGGTGGTCCTGGTTCAGTCTCCCATGAGGCCGAAAACAAGCTGTTGGCAGGTGCTCCAGTCCTCTAAGTTTTGACAAGGGGTGGGGGACCGGCTTTCAGTCTCTCTTACATGGTTGGTGGCAGTCCTCAGTTCCTTACCACGTGGGTGATGCTTGACACGGAGGCAAGAATATTGGAGGCAGGATCTCTGTGAATAGTGGGGGGGAGACAGAGAGAGAAAGACAGAGAGAGAGGCTGCAAGTGACCAAAGGGGATATGATAACAGTTTGTGTGATCTAGAAGTGACACACCATTACTGTGGTCATATTCTCCTGGGAGGGAACTAGTCAAGGACATGAATACCAGGTGGGAGAGCTCAGGGGGCCACCTTGGAGGCTGGTTACCACCATGCCCATATGACAAAGATAGCACTCTCAAGTTAAAATAATTTGAGAAGTGGTGTGTGTGCACGCGCAATTTACTTTCTTATAAAAGGACAATTTACCAAGATGTGTGCAGGGAGTAGGGAGGCCACTTGTTATCACACAAGTGCCTAGAGCTAGGAGCAGTGGAACCGTTACTACCGCTCAGCCCAAAAGGACAAAAACAGGGAGAGGTTACTGGAAATCTGAAGGAGAGAGAATCGTGGGGAGCAGGCCCTTGGGGAGGAGGGCCATGTCGCTCTGTTAGAGGACACAGCCAGGCATACGGAAGGACATGTGGGAGCTGTGAGCATCTTTCCCAACCTGGCATTCAGCGGTGTCACTGGGTGGCCACACAGGTCATGCTGGTAACGGTACATACACCGAGAAGCCAGCAAATACTAGAAATCAGAAGTCCTTCTTCCCCCTTCCCTCCCTTCCTCTCTCTTTCCCTTCCTTCATTCAGAAAACCAGTTACACATTTAAGAGCACACCGTGGAACACAGGCAGCCGGACACAACGTCTGAATGCAGGAGCTAAGAAAGCGCGGCTGCAGAGCTCACTCTCAAGATGGAAGGAGGACCAGACTCAGCCAGGAGGCCAGGAAACACAGGCGCCCCTGGGCTCATCCTCTTCAACCCACCTGCTGGGGGAGGCGACCCCAGCTGAGGGAGGGTGGAAGGGGGTCCCGCACAGTGAGGCTGCCTGTCAAGCATGCGGCTCCGCTTTCTCCCGGCAGCACCTGTGCAGACAGTGACTCAGTTCATCGGAAGAAAAATCGAGAAAGCATTGTTTGTCACAGTATCTCTTAATTATACTTTCCCACCCATCCTTATCACTTCTGGTCTCCCACATCTCTGAAGGTAACCTTGGCAAAAGATTGAAAACTTTGAATTTTCTAGTAAGGTCAGTGAGAATGTCTATCTGTTTGTTTTTATTTTTAAACTTTTCAAACAATAGAACTGACTCCAAGTTAAGAAAGAATCTATTTAGAACGATGTAAGAAGGCTCGGAAAATAGAAAAAGAGCCTGAAGAACAAGACTCACGAAGGGCAAACCAGGCGGCTCTGGATTGTTCGAGTGGTGGGAAGTCATCAATGGTCCCAGAGCATCACTGCTGAAATGAACCCTCTTCCAATTTGTATTTTAACAGCCCTTGAGTCACTCTGCTCAAGATGCGCTACTGTAGAATAAAATATGGTTGGCCAACTTTGGTCAATGACTACTCTGGGCAAGAAGAAGGCAGTCTTCCCTGACCCCTCCCACTTGGCACTGTTACAATAAGGAGCTCTCAAGAACAGGAGGGTGACTGGGTGCTGGGAAGCCAAGGAGCAGCAAATGTCCACTATATTCTGCAACATGATCTTGCTTCAGCGTTCCTCCTGAGTTTGGGGTAGGTCCATAAGTATAGAAGTAATTGGGAATTAATCATTCTTTAAGAATCTCTAGGCATAATGCCAATAATGCAAGAAGCCACACTAGTTGACATTAAGAGAATGAACACTGAAAAAACACAGGCGTGTAAATGAATCTTGGAATTAAATAAATAGGAAAGGGAAAGAAAAGCTGGAATATGCTGAGGTTTAGAAGGAAGATCAAGTGCCACCATTTTATCAAATCTGGTGAAGAGTTAAATATACTCCAGTAGCATTTGGAGGAAGCAGAAAATTCAGAGTAAAAATGAAGACAGGCTGTAAATATCATGAGTTCATGGGAGACTTTCAGGTATGCCTCGGGTGTAAATATGAGTTAGGAGAAAACACTGGACCTTCAAGACCAAGGGCCACCTGACCTGCATGGCTTTCCTGCCCTCGTCTCCGCCCCTTCAAGCTTTGCTGTCCTTTAACACCAGCCTGGGTCTCTCAGAGCCTTCCCGAAAGGGCTCAGTCCAGGCCAGTCTACAACTAAACAGCACTTCTGTCCTGTGCATTGGCACTTCCCAAACTCTCTGTAGGTTGGGAAGCACCCTAATGCTTCCTGACAGGTGCATCCTAATCCTCATCTCAGTCCAAGAATATTGGAGGCAGGATCTCTGTTAGATGATGATACGTTGGCTTTTGGAGGTTTGATGGAACTTAAAAAAAAAGAAAAGAAAAGGTCTTTCTTCCCCTTTGTAGTTCCTCTTTGGCCTAAACCTTGAAAACACCGACCTTAACAAGGACTTGCCCTTCCTCCCTCCTTTCTTCTACCTCACAGTATTTTTCAGAAAGTCAACGAAAGGCTTCTTACAGCAGCCCAGGCAAGATTACTCTCAGATGGCTTACTCTCATCCGGGGCTCTTTCCCCGATCAGCTAGGATCTCCCAAGCACATGGGAAGATTTTTGTAAGAGTTACTAATATCGGTAATGTGTTCTCACGCTACCTGCTCTTCCCTGATGAGCTCAGCCACTCGGGCAGTTTCAACTGTAATTTGTGAGGCAATGACTCTCCACCTGCCTCCAGTTGACTCACCTCCCAAGGCCCAGGCCCTTATTTCCAACTGGATGTTCTCTACCCATCTTGGACCCTGCACCTCCTATACTGAACTCATTGCTTTAGACAAGCTTACTCCTTGTTATTGAAGCACTAATCACAAGTCATAACTGGGCTAGATGTGACTTATGCTCAAAATCTCAGCAACTTCCAGCTCCAACCTCTCCCTCTTATTGCATGTAAATAATCCAAGCTGTCCACAATTTGTAGTTGCAACCAAACTTTTGGTCTTGTCTCTTCTATAACGCCCAAACCTAATGCCACATGCTTGGTTTGCATTCCTGGAATAACCGCTTCATGGTCAAACAATTAAGTTGGTTGATTCCCTTTGCCTTGAATAGTTTTGTCACCAGGATCTTTCTAATCTTGCATCTCCTGAGACACTTCACTAATTTTAACAATTAAAATTCATTGTTCCTTCCAGTTCTCTATAGCCAGCCATTACAGAGAAATGAATATTTACCGGGAAAATTTACCTACACTTACTCCTCATAATAATGAGTGAGTTAGTTATTAGCCTGAGATCCCTCATCAAAAGCCATGAGGCCAGATGTGCTTACAAATTCAGAATGTCTCGTGTTTGAGAAAGGTAATAACATGGAACGCGTGCCCGTTTTCCAATCTGTATAGGAGATATGTATTAGCACACTACCTTCTTCTGGGAACTGTTGTGAAAGAGACAGCATGTTCCTTCAGAGAAGGGCCTAGGGAAATACCGTTATTAAATGCATTTTGGGAGTCTATTTGTTTGACTGTAATAAATAGTACCTTCCAGCTTGTGAACAATCCCTCACTAGAAAAATAAACGGGTCTAACTTTTACAGTTACCCAACTTATATCCGGAAAGTAATTTGGAGGGTGATAAGAGCCCTCGTTCTGTTGGATGTTGCATTTCTTTTTCTTTCCTTACTTTCAGTTCCTTCTGCCATTTACCACACCCTTTACTCATTATTTCCTAGTGAAATCACGGACCTTCTGTTACCACAGTAAAAACTTTTTCAGTTTTCTTGCCTACTTTACTGTTAAGTCGTCATTTTCTATGGCAAAAAAAAAAAAAAAAAGCAAGATGATTATTCCCTTCGTGGCAATTGTGCTAATTTCTCCGAATTCAGTGTAAACATACTCATTTCTGTTACTCATCCCTGGGCCTGGATGCAGACGAGGCCAAGAGGACAGTGCTGGCGGGGGCCATGAAGTTCAGCGGGCACGTAGGACCTGGCTTCGTTCAGTTCTCTTGTCTGTGTGGAGAAACCAAGGAGCAGGGAGCTGGAGCAAGCTGCTCTGGCTCACTAGGGCAGTTAAGGACACGAGGCCAGAGCCGTCTCTGCTGCGCCCACCCTACGGGCACCCCCTCCCCACTCCCAGGCAACCACTGATCTAGTCTCTGTCCCTACAGACTGCTTTCCTAGAATCTCACAGAAACCGAATCATGCAGGACATATTTATTGTATCTGGCCCCTCTCACTCAACATAATGTTTTTGAAATTTATCCACATGTATTAGAAAAGTGTTCTTTATATTGTTGAGTAGTATTTCATTATAAAGATATATCACAAAACTTATTTATCCATTCTTCTGAAGACAGACATCTGGGTTATTTTCAGGTTTTGACTATTAAGAATAAAGCTGCTATGAACATCCTTGTATATGGCTTTTGTGAAATATACATATATATTTTTTTATATTTCATTTGCCTTGGGTAAATTCTTAGAGTAGTTTGATGGTTCATAAAATATTTCATTTTCTGAGAAATTACCAGTTGCTTCGTATCTTCATCCAAAATAGGTGTTGGCAGCTGCATTAGTTTCAAGGTTCTTCAGAAAAACAGAACCAATATGATATAAAAGAGACTTATAGTGAGGAACTGGCTCACGTGACTATGGAGGCTAAGAAATCCCATGATCTGCCAGCTGCAGGTGGGGGTGCGCATCCTGAGGCCTGAGAACCAAGGGAGCTGATCCGGTAAATTCCACTCCAAGGCCTCAAAGAGCAGAGATGTCCTCAAAGACAGATGTCCTCAAAGAGGCCAAAAAAAGGGGGGAATTCCTCCTTCCTCTGTCTTTTGTTCTGCTCAGCTCATCACCAGACTGGACAATGTCCACCCCCATTGAGGAAGGCAATTCACAGCGTCCATCCATTCAAATGCTAATCTCAACACCCATAGAGACACACTAAAAAATAATGCTCAACCAAATACCTGGGCATCCTCTGCTCTATTCACATGGACACGTGCATTGAATGATGACATTTTTCTCTTAAACTGTAGTCTTTCTAGTGGATGTGACGCTGTATTTATCGTGACTTTAGTTTGCA